CGCGATGCCAACCTGTACTCAACAGCGTAAAGAAGAGCCTGAACGTCGATGATCCGATGGAGGGTAGTCAGACTTCTGACTCCTCGATGATGTCCTGTACAATAGCAAGCTTTTGATACCCATCAAGCTGCGATGTGAGTTATGTGTGCTTGGTGCCGGCTGGAAGGGAATCCGGGGTAATGCTGTAATTTCATCATCCCGGCTGTACATCGATGTCAACTTGCTGCGTGAACTTCGTGGCGGTGTCTGGAGCTTGACAGGCATGGGGGCATTGATTTTGTCGAACTCTACAACGTGTTCTTTGATGTCGCTCACCGCATCATGGTACATCGTAGTGGGATCGGATGTCTTGATCCGGGTAATTCTGGCGGGAATCCGGCGAAGCCCCGGCGTATATGTTTCTGGCTGCTCATCTGGAGAAAGACTCGGAACATCATCCACATCTGGAGGAGGGGGATGGAGAGACTTCGGTATCGTCTCCAGTAGATCGAAGTTGAAGTTGAAGCCAGAGAAACGGCTAGGTGACTTCCAGAACTCGTTCGCGATAAGAGGAGGGCCAAGCATGTCTACATCTTTCTGGTATGCGTCCCAACGTCCCTGCGTTTCGCGAGCAGCGCCCTCTGCGTTTCTGATTTGAGACCGCTTGCGGTGGCCGGCGATTGCATGACGCGGGCCAAGGTCCTGGTTGTATATTTGCGAGGCACTTTCAAGCTGAAGGATCCGTGTTTGCATGTCAAGCATTGCCTCTCTCTGTGTCGCTAGCTCGGCTTGAACATTGTGGATAATTTCGATTAGAGTGCGGTTCGTCTGGCGCAATTGAGATTTGGTAATCGATGTTTGGGATGGCCGCCTCGACCTGGAAGAACGCTGGTGCACGCTCGAGGACTCATAGGCTGCGGCGATGGATCCTTCGGGGCCACTCAACAAGTCCAGCATAGTTGCGCCAGACAGGTTTGCCTTGTGGCTTCGACATGCGCTGTCGTCATGGTAGAAGGTATGTGGTGTGTTAGGAGAATTGAGAAAAGTCGCCATCTTGCTGTATGCGTGCGTGAGAAAGCTGGAATGACGACGGTCAAGTAAAGAAAGTTAGTGCTAGCGAGCATGAACGCCTATATTGATTTTGCAAAAGCATTGCAATGTTTCGTCGTTTCCTCATCACCCTCAGACGCCAACCCGTTTCGCCACTGTAGTTAACTTCGCAGGCATGCGATGCTGATACTATAAGGAGTGCCGCCAGGGGCACGGAGCTGATGAGCATTACCATTCGCTCAATGTGCAACGGAGGTGTGGCGCTGGGCTAATCGCGTCACGGTGAGCATGCGAGAAGGACTACCAAACATCGTCAAGACGCTGGTGTCGGGGCTGTCCTGGCGTTGTAGGTTTCAGCTGTTGAGGATCGTGTTTCGGCCAGGAGTGCGGAAGGCACGGCTCCAGGCTGTCGAGGTTGCTTGCACAGACCTGGATGGCGACTAGCGCAGTTCTTAGCTCATGGAGAACATTGCGGACTGCGAAGCTCCAGCCTCCAGAAAATCGCGAAGCTTATGTCACAATCACTATACCTACCGCCACAACTCTGAGAGCAGCAGGTCTGTGTTTCCCGTTCAGGGGTCGCAGGCTCCTTCTTTGCAGCGACACCTTGAAACCCACGCAGGGTGAGCCATGCCTAGGCACTTTCTGCCGGCGCGCAAGAGCGGCTTTGCGCACAGATAGAGGACCTAGCAAGGAAGTTCCTGTACTGCTAATATCTCTTGCAGAGCATAGTCGCGTTATTGTCTTCTTTGGTTGCCTTATGCCGGCTGCGGCAGCAATACTGATGATGAGCTCTTACGCACCCCGCAATGCCCCTGGCACGTGTCCACGGGTGTCTTCCGAGCTCTCTATTATGCGAAAGCTACTCACCTTCCAAACCTGCCTATCAAGGCTCCCGATACTGCTACCTCAACCGCGCGTAATCGCCTCAAGCACGCTCCTGCTGGTGGCATATCGCCGCTTGGGCTGCCGGATATCCATAGCCTATGACGGGGGTGCTGACGATGCGCGGTCTGCTCACCATAATCACCTTACGGAAACATCGACAATATACGTGCTAATTTGAGCGCTGAGGAATGAATGAATATCGTCGAAGAGGGGGAGAGTATTGTCCGAAGGGTACCGCAAGGACAGTCCACCTCTCGGAACCGAGTAGCTGATCTTGAGCGAGTGCTCCGAGGAGTGAGAGGAATCGGTCTCATGGTCTCGACTGCTAGAGCCCGGTAAGAAGTATGTCACCGGCTTTACGACAAGTGGAAATCATTCCGCGGTGAACGTGGGTAGAAGATCGAGCCATGTACAGAGCGCTGCTCCCAGCTACGTGACATCTTCGGTCCCATGTCACATACGGCAGCTGCCAGGATCTGCATCCATCCAGGCACATGAGACACGCACACTCGGCTCCATAGGCCCGACCCGTTCGAAGACATTGTTGGTGCTGAGAAATACGGGTCATGCCATTTGCTCCACCTTACGAGCCTGCCGGTTTTCATCAATGCAAAAGTATATCCAGATGGTGTCTTGGCCGCCCGACTATACATGTGTAAGCCCCAGTAAAATCCAACCGCCCTTCCCTCGCTTAACCGAGACTGGCTAAGTAGATTCAACGAGTTTGTATCTGTCTTCAGGTGCAGCATCAAACAGCATCCCGCCAACCTCGAACCAGAAGGTGTTTACCTGTACAAGCTTGGGGATGCTCGCTTGTGCATTTTTAGACGTATAGATCCAGATTCGCATCATTACGCGGACGCATCACACCGCATTCAACTACCGATCACCACGCGCAGCACTTCCGGTTAATATACGACTGGTCGACATTAGCCACACGTCGTCCTGGAGAGTCGTACCAAGACTACCATGCCGCATGCACTCCGCCGCCAAGATCGGGCACTAGATGAACGCTAATCTAGCTGCGGCGCGTGTACCGAAGCGAGCAATTGCCGCTGCCTATCACAGCCATGTTGATTATGGACCTCATCCTAGACAATCTGTGGAGAGTAGCACACAACAGGGAACGCAGTTTAGACTGCTCGGTGACGAGAACAGCGACAGCACAGATGTGTAGATCCAGAACGATGTCATTAGCACCTGCAGGAATACCGCACCAAGGCGCAGCAACCGGAAAGTATAAGAAGGCCGACTACATGGCATCTTGAGATCACCTTGAGCCTCCTCACGTCCACAGAGCATTTGCAGACATCATGGTTCAGCTCACACAAGCCCTCGCTGCCATTCTCTTGGCTACCGGTGTTGTCGCGCATCCTGGTGGCAACACCAACAAGGAGATCTTGAGGAGGCAGGCTCATTTGGATCATCCCAACCGTCGAAGTGTTCAGGCGTGTAAAAGGGATCTCGTCGAGACCGGGTGGGTTCGGGAGCAGCATCAGAGGCGTGAGGCAAGGCTCCACGAGCTTCGGGTTGCAGCTGGTTTCGCGAAAGAACACGAGCTCGTCCGTCGTGACGTCGCTGAAGTCGAGGAGAGCTACGGTGCCGAGGCAGCATGCACGCTTGACCCTGAATCCACTGAGGGTCCATACTGTGAGTGGAGAAGGTTGCATCTCTTGAGACAGGTTGGCTCACTTATTGATAGGGGTCACCGGTGAGCTCGTTCGTCAGGACCTTTTGACCGGAGAGAAGGGTGCCATCACCCACTTGGACGTCAACATCATCGACACTTCATCTTGCAAGCCTGTCACCGATGCCTACGTTGAGATGTGGGGAAGTAACGCCACTGGTGTCTACACGGGTGTTCAGGCGAAGGGCAATGGCGACGGCTCTGCTACCGCTATTGCGACCAATGCTCTTCGCGGCGTGCAACCCACCGGCGCTAATGGTACCGCTACATTCATTACCGTTATCCCAGGACACTACGTCGGCCGCACAAACCATCTCCACAGTACGCTTCACTCCTGTCTTTTATCAACGTATTAACTGACAACCCTAGCCATCATCCACCATGGTGCTAAGCTCCTTCCCAACAATACCATTCAAGGCGGTACGATCTCGCACGTCGGTCAGTTTTATATCGAGCAGAACTTCCTAGGCCAAGTTGAGAAGACTTCTCCTTACAACACGAACAAGCAAGCCATCACCACCAACGCAGTTGATGCGCTCTTCAACATGGCGAAGCAGGGTGGCGACGACCCAGTGATGAAGATTTCGCTCATTGGCAAGACTATCGAAGATGGGCTCTACGCTACCATCGATGTCGGCGTCAATCCCCGCGCGAGGCAGAACCCTCAACCCGTAAACATGTGGACGGCAGATGGTGGTGTACCGGTCAAGGGAAGCCCGTGGACAGGATACCCCGATACTTGCTTGTACTGTGGAATGAGGCCCCCGAAGGAGAAGAAGGACGTTCTCTCCGAGGAGTAAATTGCCCTGGGTAGAAAAGACAGCGTAGTGTCGTGGGCCGTGTCACATGCGTGGCTGATCCTGATGACTCTCAACACGGAGCAATATTGTACATAGCTTAGCTCCTAAGAATCAAGCTGCAATGACTTGTAGAAATCTAAGAGTGCATCAAATGTGACGGCGTAATAAATGTAATGGGCGGTATGTAAAAAGGTGGATGTTGTGGTCCGGGCGGAAGTAAGCCGGCAGCTTACAAGCCGTTCTCAAGGGGTAGCTGAGTGCCAAGAGCCTAGCACGCGCCGCCCCGCCCGCGGCGTTGGACGCGCCCACGCGTCGTTCCTCCACTCGACCTGCTCAACAAATGCACGCGACCATGTCGACCCTCCCGGTGCTGCCGGCAGATGTACATCTTCTGATACTCGATTACGTAGGCGCAGAGACCCTGAGATGCCTCCCAATGGCCGATGTGCTAAGTCCAGCAGATCCACTTGCCTTCGCACCTCCAGGCCCTATGTCTGACGTCGAAAGCGCTATGCGACCTCGCCAGGCCTCGACTGTATCGGAAGGTCACCATCAACGTACTCGATCCATCGGAAGTGGCACGCTTCGAGAATTGCATGGCCGCAGGTGCCGAGGCGCATCTTGACGCTACAAGGAGCTTGACTTTGATGGACAGCCTTCCCCCAGCAGAAGCTCCCGAGTTCCAGACCAAGCCGCATCGACGCTTCGACCGTGAAGATAGGTTGACATCTGCTCAAAGTAGTACGATAGAAGCAATACTAGCGTATTTCCCTCGGGACCGCCTACAATCTTTCCGGTGCGTCCTCGATCTTCGGAATGCCTCACATGCCAGCCTGTGGCATGTTCTCGTCATAACCTCGCGGACTGTCATGTCAGAACTTTACTGAATTGTGATAGGTTCCTCTCGGCCCTACCGTTGCCTGCTAATATAGCCCGCAAATTTTTCCTTAAACAAATGCGCACATTAACACACGTACACCTAAGAGTAGAGGACCTATTTCAATTACAATACCTCGACTGTGTGCGAACTGCGGACCTCTGGCTCCCCCATCCAGAAGAAACCTGGTCGGAATTGGAGGAAGAGAACTTTCTGGACTCCCTGGAGGACATCGGCAAGTATAAGGATCTGGAGAGACTGTACCTTGGAACCAAGTTTGAGAGGTATTCAGACGATACTAGCCGAAGACTCGCCGATGCCTTTTCGTCTCTAGACAATCGTATGGGCGCCTAGAGAAGCTTCGCCAACTTTCGATCTCCGGAATCCCTCTCGGCATCGATACATATGGGCTCAGCAAGATTATATCGTTTCCTCAGCTCACACATTTGACTCTTTGGGCATGTTCCTGTAGCCAAAGGTTCATCTCCAATTTGGTACATGACCTCGGCGACCAGGACTTATCGTTGAAACATCTAGGACTGGGGCTAATCGACGATGACGAGGAGGAAGAGCCGGATGATGATACTCCCTACGAAGAGGACGATGACGCCGTCGAAGAGTTGATTAGCCGCTGTCCTGAATTGAAAAGTCTGTGTTTGCAGTGGAGTGATAGGGGGTGGATAGATTTCACGTTGGAGTCCTTCAAGCAAATTCTGGCGATTGTTGGACAGCAGCTTGTTGTTCTCTCGATACACATGTGGGCGACTAGAACGGAATTAGAGGCGGATGGACCTTTATATTGGGAAGAGATATCTCTAGCATGTCCAAACTTGGAACAACTCGCGTTCAATCTTCACCCTGACACAATGTTAAATTACAAAGGCGGGTTCGATCCAGACTTGGTAAGATTGTACAGTATCTGATTTCACGTTCCATCTCTAACATATACCCAGTCACCCATCTGCAAATTGACCAAGCTACGCACCCTTCAACTTCGGGAAAGGTGGTGTCACGACTCCCATGATTTCGGAGAGGAGAGTGACGATGTTTATGGAGACATCGAGCGCCAAGCTCATCTATTTGCAAAAGATTTCTTTACGCATCTAGAAAACCAGTCTAGCTGTCCATCCCTGGACACGCTCGTACTGGGCATGGAAAACCAGGTCACGAACAGTAAAGAATTACAGGTCAGAAATCACGGAAAAGAGATACCGCCCGCGCGTTGCTTCCGCCGAAGACGCAAGATTCGTGATGATGAAAGCACGCGCAGCGAATCCCTTCCCATATCTTTGGCAGAGTTCCGAGCGACAAGTGACTACACAGAGGTTCTGGACTGGTACACCGGCTGTGAGTGTCTCTGTGCGTACTGCGTGTGAAGATATGTACTGACTTTATACACCAATATTCAGGGCAGGGTGACTGCGACTGGATGTGGCGACTACCTGGCAGGTTCAACGATGATTAGCGTGGATGTATCTTCGACTGTGGGAGAGCCTCGCAACCTGTAGTCAACCTGAACTTTTGTCCATTCAAAAGTGGCACGCAAAAAAGACTTCGCGATTGTTGGTTGGGTTATCACCTAGTTGGTGGACGCTGAGATGGGTTCGTGGCCTAGATTGGGGTACCCCTCAACCCCACGCCATACTTTGGTAGCCATCCACGGGTACTGCGATGATCCATAGACGAAAGAAACCACCCACAGCTCCGACATACCTACTCCTCTCATCACGACTGCACCTGTCAAGATATGTGGTCTTGTGGAAGCACCTCATACAAGAAAAACCTGAACAGGTCTGGAGCCTACATCGACGCCAGGTTATCTATTTTGTATGCTTCTATGTTGATGTAGGCTGCAGGCCTGTTCAGATTTTTTTCTTGGTTGGTGTGGAAGGATCACTCGAGTAATGATGTTTGTAGTTGGCTTGCTGTCAGTCAAGGGTCACACCAAAACTGGGGTAGTTACGATGCAGGTGCATTCGCGATGGATGATGCGCACACCACCTACACTTGTAAGTTGTCAACGTAACGCTTTCCTACTATTAAAGAGGTCTTTCCCTCCAGCAATTTCCTTTCCTGCTATCAACCATCTCGAGGTCTCCGCAGGCCTTGCTTAAACACCATTCCAAGGATCCAAGCTACCAATCATGTCGATCAAAAGGGTCCTGGTCTACGCCTTCGCGATATCTTTACTCCCTTGCCTAATCACCAGCGCAGCCACACCATCAAAAGACGAGTCTCGCGTCAACATCGACTTTTCCTCCCTCCTCGATGGCTCCTTAGGCTATCTACCCGCACTATGGCTTACTTCCCAAGGCGTTCTTGCCGAACTCCAAACGGTGTCAGAGTACGATCCACTTACGTCTCGGCAGGATCGTAGCGACAAGGAAAATGGTGCCGTTACAGGGGCCTTTGTCGGCTCCATGCTTGTACCTTTGGTCACCAACATCGCGGAATCCGACACTGTCACTCAAGGCATTTGCAAGTCCCTTGTAGCTGGTGCAACCGGTTCGCTTGGCTCTGTCGTTGGGCAAGAGGCTGGCAAGCTACTCTACCCAGCAAATCACACATCAGCTTCAGAGTTCGAGCAAGCCATCGTTCCTGGCACGTTCTTTGGTGGTGTTACCACAAACGCTGCCGGGACTGCGCTTAGCAAAACCCTCTGCAAAGGCCTTGTTCCAGGTCTTGAAAAGCTTTGGGAAAATGCTGAAGCCGGAGTGGCAGGGCGAGTCGCCGATGGGCTTCGCCGTGGTCTCCCCGAGGTCCTGTCCAGTCGCTTGAGGGAGATGGGTGCCAAACCCGCGCAAGCAAGCCGATTTGCAAGCCAGATTGGAGAGACAATGGGACTGGTCGATCGCACTAATCTGGGGACGGCATTTGAGCGACTAAACCGAGAACTTGTGGCCGATAGCCTGGATCTGGTAGAAGCTGCAGGCGCCGAAACAATCGAACGTACGGCAATCCGCGATCTCATCGGACTGAGTCACAACACCTTGGCGAATCTACCAGGTTCTATCCCCGGGATGACACTCCCCTTCGAACCTGCTGCTGAGCGAATGGGATTGGCAACCAAGTTCGCCTCGCAACTTACAGAGCATTTAGACTACGCCAAGAAGTTTGACAAGAAGATGCAAAACGGTGTCAACAAACTCTACGACATTGTCGACGACGTGCGCTCCAGAATGAAGTCAGTTTTAGACAGTACAGGAGTCACAGATGCAGCGCGCAAAATGAAGGAGATAGCCGACTCTGCCCGGGAGCGCCTCAGAAAGCTCCCAAATCCGTTCAAGAACAACTGCAATCCCGAAAACCCTTCAACGGTCGACAACCAAAACCCCAATATCTGCGCCCGCGGTCTGGTCGATCAGTGCTGCCCAATCTGTCCAACCTGCCCAGACGCCCCAGCTGTCCCGGAAACCCCGGCTGTCCCAGCCAGCCCTGCCCCGGTCGTGGAGACTGTCTACGCAACTGTCTATACGACGCTCACCATCGCAAACACAATCGTGGATGTCATTGAACAACTTGAATACCTCACAGAGACTATCTCACACCACGTCAAACAGACTATCCCACACCACGTCACAGAGAAGGTCCAGCAGATCGAGAATGTTGAGATCCCGCAATACATCACACAGACTGTTCAGGTCCAAGTCCCGCAGTACGTCCAAGTCCCGCAATACGTCACACAGACTATCCAGCAAATCGAGACTGTTGTAACAACAATCGAGCTTTATCACAACAAGATGTGCAAATACTGGTGTTGATCGACGCGGTATATGCCTCGGTCTGATCTTGGATTCTGGCGGTACGTTATCATGGTGATGTATTCGTCAGCCCGACTGAGTACCCTTGGTGGCATGCAAGATGGCTGGGGTGTGATTGGACCGAGGATTTGGGTGTCTGGTGGAAATACTGATTGGATGTACGTTCAGTGATGTGAGGAAGATTGTATGATGCTTTCGTGGCTGCTTCGAATGATTTTTCATTGTGATCTCACGAGGAGCCATCTTCACCGAACGTGTATAGATAAATAATAAAATGCTTCATTGCAAACATGAACACCAAGCTATGCGTACAGCCTCATCCCACCCGTCGCAAACAGAATGCTCACAAAAAGGCCAATAACAAAAACAAATGCTCCATCCAATGCATCCCTTCCTCATCCATCGCCATCATCTAACCATACCACCCATCTAAGCCTGAGCAGCCTCCAAGAGCTTCATGTGCTGCTCCGGGTGAGTCTTCTCAACATTGTTCTTAGCAACCTTCTTCATCATGAAGTTGGCGTCAATGTCAATCTCCTCGCTGAGCTTGCCGCCAGTCACACGCCACTTGCCGCTGATGGTAAGGACACCAACGGGGGGTTTGGCGTTGACGAGGGAGTCGACACCCTCGGAGACGTTGGTGAGGGTGAGTTTGTAGGTTGTCTGTGGTGGGTCAGTATTAAATTAAAGAGGAAGAAAGGGCAGGAGGAGGTAGTCGTACCTGACCAATGGGCTTCTTGTCGGTGACAGTGTAGGTAGCGCACGTAGTCTTGTCGCCGGACTCGAAAGCGTAGCTGACGAGCGCTGGGCAGAGGGTCTTGATCATGAGATCGTGGTTGTGGAGGGCGGCAATGACGACGGCGGCGTCGACACCGTTGAGAGGAGTGGAGATCTGGGAAGTAGGCATCTTAATGACTTTGTTGTTGAGAATTTGGTAGAGGATTAAAGGAACTGGCCGGCAGTAATAGTGAAGAGAAGTAGTTGGTAAGGCTGTGTTGAGATGATGAGAGAAGTAGAAGCTTGCTGGATGATGATCTATCTCCACGGTGAAAGGCAGCAGAATATATACATCTCGCCCGCTTCCTCATTCCTTACCGGTCTTACTCGCGTCTGGAGACCCCTACTCTACTCTCCATGACCCTAACCCGTTGTCCAAAACGTCAAGACGCAGTCAAGATGCATGTCTTACACCCCTGACACGGCATGGCGTCCCTCACTCTACCCCAACATCCATACAGTTGTACAGCTTACCACGCATGGCTTGTACGACGCCGTCGATCATCCGTCCGCCCAATATCGAAATAGTAGCTACCGAAACGCGTCGTCTCCGTTTCCGAGCGCCGGGATAGGTAATGTCTGTGCGTTGGTGCGCTGGGTTGGGGATGGTGAGGTAGGACGATCCTCGTTAGCCGAGAGATGTCCACAGGGTTGAATCGTGGAGCTGTGACGTGAATACTCTGTGTCTGGCACGTTTGAAGGGACGAGTGGTAGAGCGAGAGCTGGAAATAGCTGATCTGACAGTTTAGAAACATCTTTCGAGTCGCGTAGTGTCAAACAGAACTGTTTGCACACTGCTTGTCTACCTGTGACGTCTGTGTCCGCGCTGCCCGCTTTCGCAAACAAGGTCGTTCCTCAGCTGTAAACACTACCTAGGTATTGCGCAAGGCGCCTGCAACGCTCATTGACGCTGTCGATCATGTATAATGCTTACACGCAGATAAGAACACGAATGCCCACTCTCCGGATCTCCAAAGGCTCGGTCGCTGTTTCCCCGTGCAGTAATTGGGTGCTGGTTGCGAGCAGTGTCGGAGTGTTTCGCTGGTGGGTTCGCAGAATCGACGGGCGCCGCGGGTTGGGGAGCCGTGCTGCCCTAGCGCAAATCTTAAGTCAGCTCGCGTGGGTGTCGCTGTCGCCTCGTCTATTTTGAACCGGTTCACTCATCGTTCGTGCGAAAGGCAGTTACATGTTTGCTATTTTCGCGTTTATCGCGTTTCATTGCTTGCGCGGAGTGCGCACGTGTTCGCATGGCATCCAAGGGCCGTATACATTGGATGCAGCGCGGCTTCTCCGGAGCTCGGCCGAGGTACCTTGCTAGACATTCAGCTCTGGCACGTGATGGCAGTGATTGAGAACATTGAGCAGGGTAACAGTTGATGGGTCAACTCATTGAAAACGAAATGATCGCCCATTGGCCTACCATGATCCATACACATTCCCTAACCTTGATGGAAAACGCCTCGGAGAATGCTCCTATACATCACAAATACAGAAACAACACAATCGCTAAAGCTTCGACTCCACCACCGCATCCGTCTTTGCCCTTCCGCCTGCAAAATTCACTCCTTCACTAGGCTCAACCGTCCCACTTTTGTTGATCAACTGTAGCTTCCTCAACCTTGAGATCGGCTCATCATCATCTCTATCCCTAACATAGAATGCCCAGTCGGCCGTAGGATCAATCTCCGTTTGCGAGTATCCATTGCCCAGCCACGAGAACCTGTTGCCAGTGTATTTGACATCCCAGTCCTCCAGCCTGAGCTCCATGAGCGCCTCGATGTAGTGTAGAGTAGAGCCAGGCCAGAGCGCGGTTACAGGGCCGTCAGCGCCGAGCGATTTGTACCATGAGCGACAGCCGTCGTTCCATACCGTACGCTTCATGTATTCGTCCTTGAAGGCGACGAAGTCATCGATGGCCTCAGCTCTCGGGGCGAATGTCGATATGTTGTGTGTTTGGAAGCGATCGATGAGCTTGCACATGTAGTCTGCCTGCGCTTCGATAGCACTGAGTACAGGACCATTGCCAATGGGGCAGTTGGGCCCGAGGAAGATGAGGTAGTTTGGGAAATCGGCGGCGGCGAGGCCGAAGTAGGAGCGTGGTTCTTTGGCCCAGGCATCTTGTAGGTTGGCACCGGAGGAGTTTATCACAGGGAAACGTGGCTTGAAGGATGTGTTAAAGCCGGTGGCGCAGATGAGCACGTCGATGGGGTATTCGTTGCCATCGTCGCATAGGCAGCCGCGTTCGGTGATGGAGTTGATCTCGCCGTAGACAGTTTGTACGTTGGGTTTTCCTAATGCTTCAAGATAGCCAACGCCTGGTGTCAGTCTTCGGCACCCAACATGCCAGTTCGGGATCAAGCGCTCTTGTAGATACTCGTTGTTAAGTTTTTCGGTCATTTGCTGGCGGAAGTAGGCCTCTGTCTCGGAGTTGACGTTTGTGTTCTTGAGAAAGATGCCAAATTGGCCGTTGAGGCCGCGTTCAATGTTCTTTCGGTATTCAACCAATGCGCCGGGCTTGGTAGCGAATTCGAGCTTTTCGCTATCGGTAAAGACGTGCTGCTCGAGGCCTTGGACCGGTGAGACCCATGTTGGCTCGCGGATGAAGGTTGTAACTTTCTTGACGTGCGGTTGGATCGTAGGGAGAACTTGGATGCCAGAGGAGCTGAAGTGGTCAGTCGCGGAGTTGAAGATCATTCCAAATGCACTTACCCATTCCCAATCAGGCCGACATGGCGACCTCTGAGATCGACGTTGTCGTCCCAATTCGCAGTGTGTAGTAATGTGCCCTTGTATTTGTCCAAACCTGGGATGGCAGGCCATTGCCAGTTGTTCAAGATGCCGCCTGCATTGATCAAGATGTCGCAATGATCGTTGACGGTCTGGCCACTCTCCAGGTCTTTGACCTGTACATCATATCCGCCCCTTTGCTTGTTCCAAATTGCGCCAGCGACTTGGTGTTGCGTCTTGATGTATTTGCGTAGACCGTACTTGCGGGCGAAATCGTTGAAATAGGCGAAGATCTCTTTGGAGCTGGCGTATACAGCGGACCAGTCTAATTTGGGCTCGAATGACCACGTGTAGTTGTGGGAGGGAACATCGCATGCGCATCTAGAAGCGGATGTTAGCGAGTTTGGTCGACTGCGCCGCGTCGCTGCAGTCGCTTCGGTAGATCGCGGGGCGAAAGGTGCATCAAGCCCCGCAGCAATCAATATGATCTTCACTTACCCCGGATATCTGTTCTCGAACCATGTGCCCGAAACTTCGGAATTCTTCTCGTAAACTTGAAGGCTGTAATTCGTAAAGTGCTTTTGCAGTTTGTATGCCATCAGGAGTCCCGAAGCACCTGCGCCAATACACACGATGCGTACATGGCGTTGCGCGTGAATGGGTCCACGTAACCGGTGCTGCGCATCAGTCTCTGGCGCAGCCGTTGATGGGACAATAAATCCGTCTGCCATTGTGAAGGGTAAATAACTAATGAGAAAGGTAAATCGCAAGACAAAGTTGGAGCTGGATCTTAAGGCAACGCTGCGACCACTCCGAGGCCTTCACCATTCTTAAACTTTGTTTGCGGCATGTTTGTGCCGCGACTGCTCAGTCACGGAGAGTCAGGTGCTGGCCTGATGACTCCACGTAGCGAGTCAATTTAGTGTACGCTGAGATCTGGGGTCACGCTAAGTGAGTTGGAGCAGGGTTGGGGTCTCGAGATATGGTGACGATTCGTGATGTGGGCAAACTGTTGAAGATGCTATTCATGACTTTCCGTCTGGCAAAGCATTTCCGAACGTTGCACAGACGAAAAGTCTGGGGTTTCGAGGTCGCGTAATCGTGATAAAGCCGATGGAAGGTCGATAAGCCAATCGTACAAATGCTTGGGGCAGTCGAGATCCTTTTTCGGATACGGAGGTTGCGTCTCCCAATTTGCGGGGATCGGGGTGGAGCAATGGGGTGGAGAACCTCTACCGAGATGTGACCGATGTAATCAACATAATTGCATGTTTGACGAAAAGATTATGTGTCGTAGCAAGCGTGTAAAGGAAATGTCGAATTATCAAGGCGCTGGACTAGTACAAAGGTTTAGACAATTGTGTATCCTCCGTCCGCGACTAATGTGGCGCCGATCATGTAGCTCGCCGCGTCTGAGTGTAAGAACGCAATACAGTCGCCGATTTCCTCCATCTCCGAGTAGCGGTGAACAGGGACCTTCTTCCTTTCAGTTTCCA